AGTGCCACCTGCCCTCTCTGTGACCCTTTAAAACAAGACAAAAAAGGAGACTGCATTGTGCTGGGCACAAACCCCATTGGGGAGGCACTGTGTGCTCTTCAAGAAGTATGCTGATTTGGAAAAATGTCTATTCATGTCCTCTGCCCATTTTTAAATTGGATTATTTGCAGTTTTTTGATGTTGAGTTTTGTAAGTTCTTTATATATTTTGCATACTAACCCCTTATTGGATATGTAATTCACAATTATTTTCTCCCATTCAGTAGGTTGCCTTTCTGTTTTGTTGATGGTTTTCTTTGATGTGCAAAAGCTTTTTATTTTTTTCTTTTATTTTTTAAAAAGATGTTATTTATCTATTCATGAGAGACACAGAGAAAGAGGCAGAGACACAGGCAGAGGGAGAAGCAGGCTCCATGCAGGAAGCCAATGTGGGACTCGATCCCAGGACTCCAGGATCACACCCTGAGCCAAAAGAAGGTGCTTAATCGATGAGCCACCCAGGTGTCCCAAGCTTTTTATTTTTTATTTTTTTGTAGTCACAGTAGTTTAATTTTGTTTTTGTTTCCTTTGCTAGAGGAGACAGATCTAGAAAAATGTTTCTACAGCCAGTGTCAAAGAAATTACTGCCTATGTTTTCTTCTAGAAGACATACAGATGGTCCACAGACACATGAAACAATGTTCAACATCACTGATCATCAGGGAAATGCAAATAAGAACCACAATGAGATATCACCTCACACCTGTCAGAATGGCTTAAATCAACACCACAAGAAATAGAAAGGTTGGTGAGGATGTGGAGAAAAAGGAACCCTCTTGCATTGCTGGTGAGAATGCAGACTGTTGCAGCCACAATGGAAAACCGTATGGAATTTCCTCAAAAAATTAAAAAATATAATTACTATATGATCCAGTAATTCCACTACTGGGTATTTACCCAAAGAAAACAAAGACACAACTTAAAAATATGTTCCCCTGTATTGATAGCAACATTATTTACAATAGTCAAGGTATGGAAGCAGCCCAAGTGTCCATAGATGAATGGATATAGAAAGATGTTCTCTGTGTGTGTGTGTAATGGAATATTACTCGACCATAAAAAAGAATGAGATCTTGCCATTTGCAATAATGTGTACAGATCTAGAGAGTATAATGCTAAGTGAAATAAGTCAGAGAAAGATCAATACCATATTTCATTTGTATGTAGAATTTAAGAAACAGAACAAATGAACAAAGAAAAAAGAGACAAACAAAAAAACCAGACTTTTAAATACAGAGAACAAACTTGCAGTTTCCAGAGGGGAGGTTTGGGGAGGTTGGGTGAAATAGATGAAGGGGATTAAGGATACACTTGTGACGAGCATTTGTGATGAGTGCACATTATTGAATCGTTATATTGTAGGCTCTGTGTTAATTATACTTCAATAAATATTTAAAAAGAAGTGGACTTATTCCCTTGAGTAGATGGGTCATGTTGAAACTAAATGCTGCTGCTAGATACTTCCTGGTAAGGTTTTCAAAGTATGTATTTTCAGACTTGGAACACTTTGCTCAGAAACAATACAATCTAATGGTAAAGATAGACACAATTAACATAGCTGCTGTGGGTGTGAGGGGTCTAGAGCCCTGCCTACTGGGAACTTTGGCTTTTTTCCTTTTCTTGGGGGTCTTGGGGTGAGCATTGTAGGGACCATGGAAATTTTCTAAAAAACCCCAAGCTGGTCTAATCCCCGCATTATACAGATTGGGGAAATGAGATTGTGCAAGGGCAGTATCACTGTCATACATGTTACCTGATTAAAATAGTTCAACTAGGGGTGCCTGGGTAGCTCAGTGGTTGAGTGTCAACCCTTTGGCTCAGGTCATCATCCCAGGGTCCTGAGACTGAATCCTGTGTCGGGCTGCCCGCAGGGAGCCTGCTTCTCACTCTACCTATGTCTCTGTCTCTCTCTCTGTGTCTCTCATGAATAAATAAATAAAATCTTAAAAAAAATAGTTCAACGGACTCACCTGTAAAATAATCACAATTTTTAACATAAGGATTGAGAGTATACACTGGGGAAATATTGAAGAAAGTAACAATATAACAATGACTAAGAAAAGCAAGACCTCAAAATTGATATTAAAAGGTTATCACCCTAAAAAAAAAAAAAAAGGTTATCACCCAAACCTATTCTTTCTGTACCAAAGTAGATTTTACAGCAGAGATATGTCTTACAAAGTAGACTTTTTTTTTCTTCTTTAATTTGGAAAAAGTTTTGAAAATGCAGAAAAGTATAGAGAATCATATAAAAAAGCTACCATGGGCACATGTTAGTATTTTGTCTTCTTTGCATGCTCTCTATATATTATATATACATATGTATATTATATTACATGTTTATATTTATATACACACACATATATATATATATCTGTCTATGGCTCATAAATGTAAGAAAGCAAACAATAAAAGTCCAGTAGTTTAAATCAGGGAACTCTACATGAGGATGAATTAGATAACATTAGATAATACAGGATATATATAATGTATATATGATATATATATATGAAGCAAGGAAGACAAAAAATATATTTAAATCTTTTACATTTAAAAATACTATATTTTATGTGTTTATAATAAAAATTAGATGTATTTAAAATATTTGTATATTTATATATATTTTGAAATAAAAAACCAGCACATAAGGTACAACTGAAATCCTCTATCTCTTTTTAGCTCATTCTTTTCCCTCTCCAATTTCCAGAAGCAAACACACTCATGAATTTAACCTGGACCCTTACATCCAATAAATATGTTTGCTTGTTTTACCCACAAGTGATTTTTTTTATTTTCGAAATATTAATTGAAATTAAGTGGATATTGACATAGTTGTTAACACGCCTGACTTGAGATAATAAAAAGATGTATTTGCTGAGAGAGGCAATTTCAGCAACTTTAAACATTTGAACTAAAGCCCTGAAAATAAAGGCCTCAGATTTCTTGCCATAATTACAAAGTCTACCCCTGCTTATTATGTTATTCCTTGGATCCTGTGCAAAGCCTGACTGACTCAACTTTATCCTTTCACTTCTTGAGTCTTGGTTACTTGGTTAATGATCTAGAAGACAGGAAGGGCTCCTGAAAGTCAGAGCCAATGAAAGCAGACGTGACAGCAGAGATGACAAACACTGTCCTGAGAGTGAAGGAAGCAAATGAAAAATGACCAGAAATGGGTTCTCTGCATACATGATGCTGGGGAGAGAAAATGTTAGATTACAGTAGGAAAGCAGAGATAGGGAAATCTTTTAGAAAGATTTCCACCAAAAATGATGGAAAGTTTAAAATATCTCTAAGGCTTTAGGACTCTGGCAGCCACATAGCCCAGTTCTGTATGCTGGCTCTGTCACTTACTAGGTGGATGACCTTAACTTCTCCGTATTTGGGTCCTTCCAGGAAAATGGGAATAATAATAGTACCTACTGCAGAGAGATGTTGTCAAATGAAGTGAGCCAATCCATGGACCAGAGTAAGCACATGATATGCGTAAGTGCTAGTCGCAGTGGTAGTGGTAGTGGTTGTGGTTGTGGTAGTTATAATCATAGCAGTAGTAACATTTGGAAAACTAGTGCACGTGGAAGAGTTCATAACCTTGTGTGTAGGAGGGTAGACTCTGGAGCCTCGTTCTTTCACCTGGATCCTCCATACCCTTTTACCAACTATGTGGGGTTGGGGACAATGACACTACAGAGGTTCTAGGGCTGCTGTGAACATTCAGTGGGTGTGGAAGATGCTTAGCGCCATGTTCTAAGAACATGCTCAATCAATGTCCGCCACTATAAATATTCCAGATATATCATACCTAGTGTTCTTAAACCACATCCTATTTTTAAAGTGTAGGAGCCAGCTCACAATTTCCTCATAGCAAGAAGTCGAGGGAAGCTGGAGGGAAGGTTCTGATTTCATTGATTAGTGTATCCAGGACTGATTGGTCTAGGTTTGGAAGGACTGTATGCAGTCATCGCTATAAATACAGCTCTGTCCTGTCACAGCTCTGCAGAAATACGAGACCTAAAAGGTGGGCTCTTTTTCCTTAAAAACGGGAGGCTAAGCTCCCTCTGAAATTCCTTATGATAAGATCCCCAAAGGAAAGGAGGCCTAGAAGGGAGGCCTAAAAATAAGCCAGTGAATTCTGTTAACAGGTGCTTTATAATGCCAAAGCACTTCCACACACATTGGCAGCACAAACATAGCAAACCTATGAGAAAAGAGTTATTATCCGTATTTGTCAGAGGAGGAAGTGAGGCACTGAAAATTTAAGTGACTTGCTCAAAATTCCTCTATTAGTAAGAGAAGAATCCAGCTCCTTCCTGCTTCAAGTTTAGAACTTTTATTACTCACTCATGGCCCAGGGGAATGTTCCTTACTGGCATGTACTTGTATTTGTGGGAATTATTTCATTCTCCCAACGTTTTGGTTACCTTATTGGTTTTAGGTAGCTTAATTCTAAATCCTATACCCTTACTAATCACCTCATATATGCAGTGTGTGTGCATGTGCACATGTGTATGAAGGCACACATACACACCCATGCACACATGCCAGCACATGCAGGGGGACAAGGGAATTTTTTTCACATTTTATTTATTTATTATTTTTTCATTTTATGTATTTTTAAGTCGATTTTTAAAAGATGAGAATCATAGACTGAGGGTGAAGACCATTGTGATTCAGCCACATTTCGAGTATGCTAAATCACTTTTCTGGATTGAAGACTGAGAAGTAATTCAGTTCTAACTGAATGGGTGGGGGTTGGGGAGGGGAGGTTTTTCACTTTAAATAAACCTTTATTTATTTATTTTTCTAAATACATGACCTAATTTCTTTTATAAAAGAAGAGCAAAAGAACTTTTGTTGCAGGCTCCAGCTGTCAACCAGGCTCCCATACTTTTGCCCTGCAGCCAAAGGAAGGGACATCAGGTGACAAACCCCAAATTTCAACTAGTCACACAAATTACAGACCTTCCTATCATGATGTCCTCTTGACCTTTTGCCTTTCCCCTACAATGAAGAATGAAACACAGTTGAAATCAAAATGACTCTCGTGGGCAATTTTACAAAACAAATAGAAGCACAGAACCTCCCTCCGCCTCCTTCCCCTGGCTCCCCCCGCTGGGCCAGCCTGTTCCCTCTTTCTATGCAAGCAGGAGCTAATAATTAGAAAGACCTTTCCCACCCCAGACAATGTTGTGTTGCTTGCCAAGAGCCCTGTTTGATTGGAAGAGAGAGTTTGACAAAGTAAATATTTACAAAAACAGCTACAGTCAGATGCCAAGTCCTGCTTCTAGGGGACCCTTAAAGAAGTATTTCCAAGAAAGGGCTTCTCCATGTGGCACCACACCGCCCGGTGGTGGATACGGATCCAAGGTCTGCTCTGGCTCTGTCAGTGTTTCTGTTAGCCTTTTAATTTCCATGCTAGGATGCTCTTCACAGAGTGTATGAATAATTACATTTACCACTGAAGAGTCAATTCAGAAATATACCAGTTTGGGACCACAGGAAAGAGTCTTTAAATATTACTGCTCCAGCAGTAGGGGAAAGCTTTGTGAAGTCAACAGAGAGGAAATTAAAGGCAGGACTAATTAGCACTCTGAAAAGTGTCATTATCAAAACAATTTTTTTTTCTTCTGAGAAAGGTCGATTACTGCACAAAACCTCGTCATGTCTGTATTACCTGTAGATCTGTTGTCTAACACTGTGGGGCTTGAGAGCTCAAACATGGTGAGAATCAAAACAGGTGCCCCTGCCTATTCCCATTATGCACATTAGCCCGTGGCCTTCGCACAGCCTGTGAAACAGCTGAATTTGAAACAATCGTGGTGCAGGCCAAACACTAGCCTGAAGGCCTGTCTGTCTAGGGATTTGGCCATTTACATTGATTTTTTTTTTTTTACCCACATTTTTCATGAAACACAAATATTTGCCATGGCAACTGGGGAGTCACATGACACGCTGCTACATAAACAGCTTGGAAATCTCTTAAGGGGACACAGCCACCAGTGCTGCAAATACAGGGAAGGCATCTTAAGGAAGATTTGGACATTAAGATGAAGGTCTGGGAAGAGCAGGTAACAGTCTACTATGTGGAGACAGTACGAGTCATTTCTTCTCTGCCACTCTTGCATTTCTCTTCCTTGCCTTTTTTTTTTTTTAAATGGGAGCAGCTGTAAATATGACCACATAGGGTAAGCCCAGAAAAAGACACTGCCAGCTGTCTCCTTTTTGTAGTGAAAAGTTTCAATTATCACAACTCTGTGGCTCATAAACATAAGAAAGCAAGCTTCAAAAGTCCAGCACCTATAAACCCAAAAAATCTCCATGAGGATTAATTATGTTGAACCGTGAGGTCCTAATGTTAGAGAATACAGAATTTCTTCCCTTTCCTCATTAGGATATCTGTGCAAAACTGGAGCACTTGCTTTTATTCTATGCTTAAAGACAAATGAAGTAGAGTAAAACCTCATAAGACCATACCCTACGCAACAGGGATATGGATATAAAGCAAGAGCTATTGTATTCCAGATTCCTGGACTCTTGACCAGCTAGGGGTACAGATTGGCACATTTAGTTAATCTTACAATGTGACATGTGGCATGATTGAATTTTTTAATACCTTGTGGACAATGCCATGGTATGTACTTGTACAGCAATCCCCCTTTAAAATCAAATGCATCCCAGCAACCAAAATAGTATTTATTTTATGCGAATGGTACAATTCTATAATATGTGTATATTACCAAACATCTCACTGAGAATATTGGAAATAACAATTTGCTTCTGTTAATTAGAAGCATGAGGGGCACCTGAGTGGCTCAGTCAGTTAAGTGCCTTTGGCTCAGGTTGTGATCTCGGGGTCCTAGGATTGAGCCCCACATCAGGCTCCCTACTCAGCATGGGAGCCTGCTTCTCCCTCTGTCCCTGTCCCCTCACACTTGTGTTCTCTCTCTCTCTCTCTCCCCCCCACATAAATAAATTAAAAATCTTTTTTTAAAAAAAGAAGCATGAATACCTGTGATCTTCGTTTCTTGGGAGAGAACTTCGTTGCTTCCACTGGAATCAGCTGTGGTTTCTGAGGTATAGTGAAAGGGGCTGTGGATGGAGGTGGTGCAATGTTACCTCTTCCAGAAAAAGGCTGAGTCACTGGGTGGATGCTATTGGGTTTGCCACTTGAAAGTCAAGTGGCTCTGTCACTGTTCACTATAGTCTGGCCTGTATCAATTCAATGAAACATTTGTGATCATTGACTTCAAAAGCAAAGCAAGAAGAATGAGGGCAACTGTTCCATTAGAGTATAAGGTCAGCTCCTTTCGTGCACACTGCCCAGTTGAAAAGGCACATTTTAAAACCAGGCATATTAGAAAATAATATTTGTCACATAAAAATGTTTTGCGGGGCACCTGGTGGCTCAGTTGGTTAAGCCTCTGCCTTCTGCTAAGGTCATGATCTCAGGGTCCTGGGATTGAGCCCTGTGTTGGGCATCACGCTCAGTGGGGAGTCTGCTTGTCCCTTTCCCTCTGCCCCTCCCCCTATCTGTGCCCCCAAATAAATAAATAAAATCTTTAAAAAATGTTTTGCTATAAGATTTCTTCAAGGAGCCATATTCCCAAGTTCATTTAATAAGGAAGTTAATATAACTATATATGATGGACTATTGTACTGTGTGGTCAGTAAAAAAGGCAATTCTGAAGAATTTAAATGCCTTGGGGGAAATAATACAAGTGAAAAGAGAGTAAATACCATTTTTGAAATTAAATCTTGAAGCAACAACGTTTAGAGATCTGGTCCATAGGTGGGTAGGCCTACCTGCTACTTTGGAGAGAAATCACATCTCTCCTGTTGCCTGGCAGCAAATCCATCAGCCTTTTACAAATAGTTCAAGTCTGACATTCTCAGGAGAGAAAAATCCTTACACTATTCCTTCCAAGAAAGAAAATTAAAAATAATTTATGCATATAGTTAATTGAGTCAAAGGAGTGAGGCTTCTTCAACTCCCTTAGTCCAAACCCCTTTCTGTCTATTTTAGAACAACAATCTGCCCATTTGTAAGAATGGGCAAATACTGATCAGCACATCAGTATTTATTTAAATATATATATTTATATATATATTTATATATATATAAATACAGCACATCAGTACACAATTTGGAATCCCACCTTGAGTTCTGGGCTCTTTCACATTGCCTCAAGTTGGCTGCAAGCAATCTCTTCAGCCATCTCTTAAAAAGTAGCAGGAATTCTAGAGTCTAATCACTAAAATTCATCTCCATAGAAGACATTTGTTGGTTGCCTCTGACCAACCCGGTTTGACCTGGTTTTCAGTTTTCTTGGCTTCCAGGGAGCCTCCCTGACTGTGAAACTACCCATCACCTTCCCTGAGCCTGGCATTTGGCTAGAGTGTTTGAAGACTCCATTTTAAGCCTACAAGTGTTGCCTTGACCTCTATGCTCTCCTGTCCTGTTGTTCCCTTGGACTATGCCCTCCCACTTCTGAAAGCCAGTCCATATCCTGCACTTGGGCTGCCTGAAATCCACTGATTCACCCATAAAGCCTGTTATTCCTATTGTCTGCAGGCTCAGTTTACTTTTGGTTAAATTATCAGGTTCCTACAGAGAAGTGAGATTTATGGTTAGGTTTTCATGTTGAAACAAAACAGCAGCTGCCAAGTTTTTAAATAGGCATAATTTAAAAAAGAATTTCAGTAAATTTTTAATGAAATCTGGTAGATAAAGATCTAAAATATTTGTAATTTCATATGAGTGATCCACAATTAATTATATATCTAAAAATTGTTTAAAGTTTTTCTTGGTTACCTGCAGAAATTCTGTTACTGAATTATAACTGCATGTAGCCTTAAATTTTAAGGGACACATGCATTTGAAGAATGTATCTATGTCTTCACCAAAATTGCATCATAAGATACTGCCTATAATTTGCTACTCAGTTTTCCTTCTGGAAAAATCTGTATGATGAACTTTGCCAGAGTTAATGTCCAGGGAAAAAGATCTTGTCTTTCTGGATAAACCTGTATTCTTCTATGGTAGTTACTGATATGTACCTAGCCAATAGTCCTTCTTTCTTGCTAATTTTAGAACCTCATTTTTCCCCCAATATGCCCAGCTCCTAGGGATTCCAGATTTAGAAAAAAAAAAAAAAAAAGAAAAAAAAATCTTTTAGAGGACACACAGTTAAATTTTAATTTTAGATATACAACAAATGTTTTAGAGTGAGTATGGCCCAAATAGTAAATATATTTAATATCCAACAAAGAATTTTCATGAACAGGTTGTACCAGGCATAACTTACAATACTAAGAATTTAGTGTATATCCCAAATCCTAACCCTAACCCTAATTCTATCCCTAGACATTGACTTTCCCAGACTTTCTTATAGCTCACAGTAGCCACATGACCAGTGAGTTGTAAGGGGAAGTCCATCCAGGGGCTTCCGGGAAGAGACTGGTACCACTTTTCCCCCCCCTTCCTGCACTGAATATGTACATTAAGACCCAAATCTGCAGGAGGCGTTATAGCCATGAAGTGGCAAGCATGAGGCTGAAATCAAACATCCAAAGAAGATAAAGCAGAAAGAGAGCTATTCTGATTCTTTTGATGAGTACCACCGGCCCTACACTGCCTACATCCTGAATTCTTACATGTGAAACAAATGAACTCCTCATTGTTTAAGCCGCTGGTGGTTAGGTTTTCTGATATTTGCAGTCCCATATGTTCCTGGCTGATGCCCCTTTCTCCCCCACCACCTTGTCTCCATTCCATTCTTTGTCTTATTGTGTGTACCAGAGCCTCAAGGGCGGTGGCAGCTGTGGTCACTCTGGAACCGTCTCTGCTTTTCATGGAAAGATAGAATGCTTCCTAAGTTTGCCTAGTAAGAATATTGTTGGCTCTGGGGTTTTCGTTGAAAGCAGTCATCAGGGTCAGAAAATCCTCTCGTACTTCTAATCTGCTCAGAGGTCTTATTTGATTTTTCTTTTTTTAAAATTAATTTTTTATTGGTGTTCAATTTACCAACATACAGAATAACACCCAGTGCTCATCCCATCAAGTGTCCCCCTCAGTGCCCGTCCCCCATTCACCCCCACCACCCGCCCTCCTCCCTTTCCACCACCCCTAGTTCATTTCCCAGAGTTAGGAGTCTTTATGTTCTGTGTCCCTTTCTGATATTTCCCACACATTTCTTCTCCCTTCCCTTCTATTCCCTTTCACTATTATTTATATTCCCCAAATGAATGAGAATATACACTGTCCTTCTCCGATTGACTTACTTCACTCAGCATAATACCCTCCAGTTCCATCCACGTTGAAGCAAATGGTGGGTATTTGTCATTTCTAATGGCTGAGGAATATTCCATTGTATACATAGACCACATCTTCTTTATCCATTCATCTTTCGATGGACACCGAGGCTCCTTCCACAGTTTGGCTATTGTGGACATTGCTGCTATAAACATCGGGGTGCAGGTGTCCTGGCGTTTCATTGCATCTGTATCTTTGGGGTAAATCCCTAACAGTGCAATTGCTGGGTCGTAGGGCAGGTCTATTTGTAACTCTTTGAGGAACCTCCACACAGTTTTCCAGAGTGGCTGCACCAGTTCACATTCCCACCAACAGTGTAAGAGGGTTCCCTTTTCTCTGCATCCTCTCCAACATTTGTTTGCCTTTTCTATTGTTGACTTTTCCTCACATTCCTATCACAATGAAGGTTAAAAAGCTAACTTTTATTTAGAATATTTGCCTCTGTGTTCCTGAGATTGAACTTTTTTTTTTTTGGCACTATCCTCATCCAGTTTTGATACCAAAGTAATAGCTTCATAAAATCACTTGGCAAGCTTTTCTTTTTCTATGGAATGGTTTAAGGCAAGGATCACTGATCTTTTAGGTTGGTAAAAGTCGTCTATCAAAGGCCTGAGGCCCTTTTTCCTCTGGTATATTTTTGTGTATGTATATGTGTGCACACATCCACATGTGTTGTTTAAGACAGATATATTTTTGACCACCAATTCAAATAATCTAATGGTATTGTTTTCTTTAAGTTTTATACTTTTTCTTGAGTTAATTTTGGCAATTATCCTCCTTTCATTGAAAAAAATACATATTGGCATAGACCTATCATACTATTTCTAAAAAATTCTATGTATCTTTTTTCATTTTAATATTATTTGTGCCCTCTCTATTTTTAAATTTCAGTTTTATTGAGGTATAACTGACACATAATTGACATATAAAAACTATAATATATTTAGAGTGTACATTATGGGGGTTGATATATGTATGTAGAGTGGAAGGATTCCCTCCCATCTAGTTAATTAACACATCCATCATCTCACTTATCTTTTTTTTAAAATTAATGGAACATTTAAGTTCTACTCTCTTAGCAAGTGTCAATTATGCAATATATCATTATCGACTCTAGTCACCATGCCTTACATTAGATCTTCAGACATTATTCATTTTATAGCTGAAAATTCATACCCTTTTTACCAACCTCTACCCACCTCTCAGTCCTTGGCAATCATTTTTCTACTGTTCCTATAAATTTGACTTTTTAAAAAATTCCACATATGAGTGATACCATGCAGCATTTAGTCTTTCTCTGACTGGCTTATTTCACTCAGCATAACACCCTCCAGATTCATCCATGTTGTTGCAAATGGCAGGATTTCCTTCTTTTTAAAAGATGAACACTATATATATATATATATATATATATATATATATATATACACTATATATATATAGAAATACATATTTCTATATATATTTGTGTTATATATATGTGTGTGTGTATATATCACATTTCCTTTTTCCATTCATCCATCTACAGACATGTAAATAGTGTCCACACTTAGCTATTATGAATAGTGCTGCAGTGAACATGGGAGTACAGATATCTCTTGAGATAATGATTTTGTTTCCTTTATACCCCAAAAGTGGGATTGCTGATCAGATGGTAGTTCTATTTTTAATTTCCGGAGAAACTTCCATATTATTTTCCCTAGTAGCTTTACTAGTTTACATTTTCACCAACAGTACACAATGATTCCCTTTTCTCCACCACCTGCTAGCCTTTGTT